AATAAAATCAAACGAGGATACCAGATTCATAGCTAATACCTTCCTTCAACATGTGGATGAGTTATAAAGCATACATGTTATCTTCAACACTAAATGCATTGCCAGGATTGTGATTAATCGTTTAAATAACGACATCTGTGTTGACTTCAGTGTGCAGGCCTCCAGATGTGTACTGGTAAAAAAATTATCATATTTTAAGAAGTCAGAGTTAGAAATAACCAGTAACAGATGCCTAATACATAAGTTTCTAGCAATTCAAATTATTTAGGACTTTGCCCCCAAATATGGCTTTGTTCACATTTGTCAGTGAGAATTACATCTGTGACTAGCTTTAAATTTCAAAAATCTGAGCTATCAAAGATCCCATATACTTTATCTAAGTATCACCTTGACATTAAAGAGGGAAAAGATTTTTCTCTCTCTGTCCTTAAGATTACTTATTCTCCCCACCCTCCAACATACATTCCAAAATACCTTGAGTATGAAGGTTACCATTTTGGAGAAAAGTAAAGAGGAAATTCAATTTATACCAAATAGGGATGCAATATTCCAGTTTTCAGGAGCATCAAATTATCATTCATTCCATAAGAGCAAAGCTACTCTGAATATAAACAAACTAATCTCCAACAAAGTTTCTTCAAATAAAAAAAATGTGCATGTATAAAGAAAAATATGAGACAGATGAAGTTCGAAAAAGTTGTAAATTGTACACTCACAATCACAGATGAGTGTAAAAGAGAACAGCAATACTTGCAAATAGCATCATTATGCTCATGAATATGATGAGCCACACTAAATCTAGTCAGAGATAAACTTACATGTGTTTCTGTTTAAGCTGTATAAAATAAGTTAAAACTTTTTTTTAAATGTCACTTTTGTAGGTTATTGTGATACAAAAATATCTATACCCTATTATTCTATACATATAGAATAATGTCTATATTCAGTGGCTCAGAAATCAATAGCATCACTGCACTACTATATTTTCTCTAACAAGGACCAAAAATGTCAATAAGCAACTTCAGATCAGCAACCTAAAGCAAGTAATAAATGATGTTGGCACCAGACTACCAGTGACCTTTTTTAGTTATTTGTTGCCAGGAGTCTGAAAAGAAGCTCAAAATAACTTACATAACCATTTACAATTGTTCTTATATTTTAACAAAAGGAAATTCAAACAATTCTTTTCATAAATAATTTTTTAAAATATATATATGGCAGAATGATTCCACTACGAAGTCATGTTGACTTTGGTTACCTTTGTTAATCGATGATTTTGAATTCTCTCTTAAAAAATTCTCCAAAGCCATTACTCTCATCTTTCCCAAGTCCTTATGTCCTATACTCATCATTTTCCTCATTCTGATCCTCCATACTACTGAATCAAGGGTATCCAATGTGAACTCCACCATCTGTCATACATTAGACATGCCAAGTGCAAAATCACAAACTTGATTTCGTCTTACTACCAACACTCCATTATCAAACTAGTTGCCAAAGCTCCCTTGTTATTCTTCCATCACTCTCCTCACTTCTTTCCTAATAATAATCTATTTCAGGCCCTTACTCTTCACCTAAGCTATTGCTAATTAGCGTCCTTGACTCTATCTCTTTCTTTCTATCTCTTCAAATTAATTTTTCTGGGTTGACTTTCCCCAAACTGCCTATCTGAAGGAAAACACACACATATCAAACAAAAAAAATCCACATCCCACCTACCTAAGGATAAAGTCAAAACTGGTCATTTGGCTGAAGCCTTCCATGTTAGGCCCCAAACTACCTGCTTTGCAACCACTATTTCATAGCCAAAATTTACACACTGATTTTCCACCTCCAAGCATCTACTTCTTTGCCCTTCTTTTGGAAACCCCTTTCCTACATTTCTATATTTTGAAAACTCTGTTCAAATGTTGCTATCTCAGGTTGTACACAACTAGAAATCATTCCCCCTTTTCAACTGCTGTTGCACTTATCAATTGATTAATCACCCTCCCCACTCCCCCAGCAGCAGCAATTGAAAGGAAACCAAAGGACCTCCTAATCAGAAGCCCAACAGATAAAGACAGTCAAATGCAAAGCTACTCTGGTTTAATTGAAGGTGGGGAGGAAAGGATTTGGAGACCCACATTCCAGATAAGCACCTGCAAAATACTGAAAGGCTCAAGCTTGGTATGAAAACTATTGATCCATCATCTCCAATGATATTTATATCATTAAGTCCAAAGACAAATATCTACCTAAGGAATCAAATTTGGCTAAGTGCAGCCTCTAGTTAACTGTAACCTTGGTCTTTTCCTGAGTCCCAAATATAAAACCATAAGGCAGCTGTGTATCTAAAACAGTATTGAAAAATGTCAGTTAGTAGCATTCTCTCTCTGCACTACTCAGTGCCAGATTTACAGGAAGCACGCAACAAATATATATATTCAATGAATAAGTAATTCATTATATGCTAATCACTGCCAGGGAACTTGAAGGATGATAGAGATAAAAGGAACATGTTCCAGAACAAAGACAACACCATTCCTACCAAGCATTACACATACAACAGAACACAAAACTGGGGAGGTAATGTTATTTGGTGAATTTTTAGTATCTCAGAAGAAAAATATAACTTTCATTTAAAACTTTCATTTTCCCCTAAATCAGGGGTCCTCAAACTACGGCCCGCGGGCCACATGCAAATACAAATATTGTATTTGTTCCCGTTTTGTTTTTTTTACTTCAAAATAAGGTATGTGCAGTGTGCATAGGAATTTGTTCATAGTTTTTTTTAAAACTATAGTCCAGCCCTCCAACGGTCTGAGGGACAGTGAACTGGCCCCCTGTTTAAAAAGTTTGAGGACCCCTGCCCTAAATGTTTCCACAGTCCATATCTTTCAATGAGTCATGTAAATCAGGATTGCTTACTAGTACTGCTTGTTCATTCCATAGAATCAGTGAAAGAGCTAATCAAATAATTTTTCTAAGCAGTTTTTACTGCATAATATCCTGGTCACCATCTCACCATCCCCTCCAAACACCAATATCTTGATTTGGGGGGTTTTCACTCCCCTGTTTTTTATACCTATTGTCCATCTGTTTACATCCTTAAACAAATGTATGCTATGTTCTATGTATTAAAATATTTTATATAAATAACCACACTAACTTAAAAAGTACTTTTGGAAAAAATTAACAATATTTTTTAATTTTAAAATTTTAATACTAGAAAATAAATTATCAAATAACCCATAAACTCAACAAGCTAATTGCGTATATACCTAAAATTACAAATAAAATATTTGTCAAAAATAGTTCAAATTCTAAGTAAATTAAATATCAAACATCATCCAAAATCCAAAGCCCTAAACAGATTGGGGGGAGAAGAGAAAGGGCTCTAATATTCACTGAATACCAACTTTATGCCAAACTCTATGATATGCACTTACACGTATTATTGTTATGGACTGAATGCCTGTGTTCCCCAAACCCCAAGATTCTTATGTTGAAGCCCTAACCCCTAATTTGATGGTATTTGAAGATGAGGCCTTTTGGAAGTAATAAGGATCCTATGAAGTCATGAGTGTGGAGTCCTCATGATGAAAACTATTAGTGGCATTATAGAAAAAAACAACAACACAAAAACACCAGAGAGCTTGCTCTGTCTTCACCTTGTAAGGGCATAGTGAGAAGGCCATAGTCTGAAAGCCAGAATGAAAGCACTGAGCAGGAAATGGATAGGCTAATATCTTGATCTTGGACTTTGCAGGCTCTAGAAAAGTGACAAAATACATTTCTGTTGTTTAAGCCACTCAGAATATGGAATTTTGTTATGGCAGCTCAAGCAGACTAATACAACCATGTAATCCTTATATGACTCTAATTATTACCCAAAAATCCTATATAATAAAAGGGTAATATGCAAATTGATCCTAACAGCAGAGCGACTGGGAATCACTGGTCACTATGACACACACTGACCACCAGGGGGCAGACGCTCAATGCAGGAGCTGCCCCCTGGTGGTCAGTGTGCTCCCACAGGGAGAGCTCTGCTCAGCCACAAGCCAGGCTGCCAGATGCCAGCACAGCGGTGGTGGTGGGAGCCTCTCCTGCCTCCTCAGCAGCGCTAAGGATGTCTGACTGCAGCTAGGCCTGCTCCCCGCTAGCAAGTGGACATCCCCTGAGGGCTCCCGGGCTGCCAGAGGGATGTCTGACTGCCAGCTTAGGCCCAATCCCCCGGGGAGTGGGCCTAAGCCAGCAGGTGGTCATTCCCCAAGGGGTCCCAGACTGCGAGAGGGCACAGGCCAGGCTGAGGGACCCTCCCGAGTGCACAAATTTTTGTGCACTGGGCCTCTAGTCTATATATATAAAAGTCTAAGCAACCAGCTGACTGGTCAGTAGCTATGACGCACACTGACCACCAGGGGGCAGATGCTTAATGCAGCAGCTGCCGAGCTGGGGTCACTTGGCAGCAGCGGTTCTTGGGTGACGCAGTCGGAACCAGAGAGGAGGGAGCCCGATTCTGGAGTGTGTCACCTGAGAACCGCCCTCTCACAATCTGGGACCCCTCAGGGGATGTCAGAGAGCCAGTTTCGGCCCCATCTCTGCAGGCCAGGCTGAGGGACCTCACCAGTGCACAAACCGCTAGTTATATATAAAGAAACTGAGAATTAAGAAGGTACAGTTCAATGAAAAACATAATGGTCAATCTCACACAAGAAATCAATCCAAATCAAAATGATGCAATATTTTTCATCCATTAGGTTTGCAATGCCTAAAATGTTTAACATGGAGTACTAGAAGCCCGATGCATGAAATTCGTGCAAGGGGCTTGGCCCATGCAGCCACAGCTTCGTCCAGAAGGTTGTTCGGCTGTCTGGTCTAATTAGCATATTATGCTTTTATTATTATAGATAGGCAACCTAATGAGGAAAAAGGTGAACTGTAGATGGGACTGTTAATTACTGTAATACTTCTCAAAGGCAATTTGAAAATATACATCAAATTTCAAAATGTACCTGGTCCTGATGAGGTGTCAGAGCCCAAGCAGAGCTTGGAGGAGTAGCATTCCTGTGGAGGAGTAGCACTGCATGGTTGTTATGTCAGAGCCTGAACTGGGTGAAGAAGTCATCCAATACTGGAGTGAGGAGGGGAGAGGGTGGCCTGACATAGAATGTTGATACCCAAGTGGCATGAGGAGGGAACCTCTATGTTCAGGGGACAACAAAGATTGGTTAGGGAGGAGGATGACCAAATAGACAATGTATTTATGATAATGAAAGCCAGGTATCTCACTGTTGGGAAAGGTATTATGAATATGGAAAGGGGGAAAAAAAACACCCTGTGAGAATAAACCCTGTGACAAACAGATATTGGAGATCTCTGTGTGAAATCATAATTTTACACAAACACATACAATATAGATGTAAAAGTGTATATATGTATACACACATTTGTATACTTCCTAGTTCCTTCTACTGAGATGGTCCCAAAAGCAATTAGCATAACTGGAGTTAAGATATTGCCTTCTAAATATCATTCTCCAATATAAGGAATGTGCCTTGGAGAAACAGCTGATTCCAGGACTGGAGCAGGGAAAGTACAAGATTAGCTTGGAATACCTTGTTATGCTAGAAGGTATTGTAAGTATTACACAAAGATTGATGGTGACATGTCAAAAGGTCAAAGATAGCTTGAAGGGCTTCCCAATGTTCAAATATGGGACAATTTGAGGATGAAAGTAAATAATAGTAATAAATTGTAACCCACTGACTGAGAATCCATGAATCTGTACTGATATAAATAAGCAAATGAACAAACTGAAAGTTTGATGATGAATGGAATACTGTATTTACATGGTTTCAAAATCCCTCTTCACAAAATGCCAGTTAATTATGAAGGGAAAATTAGTAATCTAACAATGGAAAACTCTCTCAGACACTACCTTAATAAAGTGATAAAAATGAACATCATCAGTAATGGAACAAATGAAAATCATGTTCTCCCTGACAAGATGCAATAAGAACACAGCATCATGACTTTGATATTCCTGACAATGTGCAGAACCTGAATCTAATCATGTGGACATATGAAACAAGTCAAAGTTAAGGTACATGCTATAAAATAACTGGCCTATAATCTTCAAAAGTGTCAAAATCACGAAAGTTGAAGACAAACTGAGAACTACTCTAGACTGAAGAAGACTAAAGAGACCTGACAACTGAATGTAGTGATCCATGATTCTAAATCAAGACATTTTTGAGACAATTAGAGAAACCTAAAGATGATTTGTGGATGATAGTAATGTATTAGTGTATTAATTTCCAAGTTTGATGGTTGTACTGTGATAATGTCTTTTTAGGAAATTCAAATTAGAATACACAAGGGTGATGGGCATCAGGTTGGCAACTTACTCTCAAATGCTTTAGAGCAGTGGTCGGCAAACTCATTAGTCAACAGAGCCAAATATCAACAGTACAACGATTGAAATTTCTTTTGAGAGGCAAATTTTTTAAACTTAAACTATATAGGTAGGTACATTGTTATTAACTTAATTAGGGTACTCCTAAGGCTTAGGAAGAGCCACACTCAAGGGGCCAAAGAGCCGCATGTGGCTCGTGAGCCACAGTTTGCCAACCATGGGTTTAGGGGAAAGAAGAATGCACTTTCAATTACTCTCTAAGTTTGCAATTATTTAAAAGTAAAAAATTATATTAAAAAATATAAATGCACCTGTCAATTTGATCTAGCAAATTCTTCTCTAAGAGTTTATCTGATAAACACAAAAGCTAAATAGATTACTTAATATGCATACAAGGGACTAGTAGTGCACAACTATTTAAAAGCATAAGGTAAAGTTTTACATTAATGTGTAAACACGTGCCTAAGAAATAAAATATAAAAATCAAGTAGAAGAAATGTTATATATAATATAGTCCTCTGTGTGTATTTAAAAAATATAAACACACACAAAATAATATACATATGTATATATAAATTCTGGACGGATACTTAGTTTTGTTACATATTGGAGTTTTTCTTAGTAAATATTTGGTTTCACCTCCTAAGCTAATTTTGTATTCAGCAAAATCTTACTAACTCAAATTAACATGTAAGAAAAACTGAATTATAAACCAAAGAAGAAACATACAGAAATCTGAACAAAACAAAGTAATTTCAAATGTTTTTTGTCATTCTAAATGGAAAGTTTCCTGAATGAAGTAGGTTCTACACATTCAAACCTGAAGACCACAAATATTCTGTAAGGTGACCAATAAATGGTGAATTACTTAATACTAATAAACCAGTCTATTGTGAAGGCCTTTTTCTTCACAAAAAAATATTCTTTGCTTTTCCTTTTATCTTTAATGAGATTTTTTACTATGTAACTACAAACATTTTGAACAAATTGCTGCTCACAACATAAACATAGAACAGGAACAAACTACTAGTACATATTCTGCAAAAGCTGGTAAGATGAAAGTTGCTGAGAAAAATCATGTATATCATCAGGTACACAATTATCTTTAGATCCTTTTTAAGGAGTCAATTTTCAGCTACTTATTTTAAATACAGATTCATTCATTCAACAAGCATTTATTGACCATCTAAAAAGTACCAGGCACTTTGAAAAATGTTAAGATTAAAGCTTGGTTTCACTAACCACTTAATGGCAAGCTTTTTAAATCTCTGAGCTTCAGGACTGTGGTGATAATTAGACTAATTTAAATAAAGTACCTAATACTGCACCTTGTATATGATAAACAATGAATAAATGCTATTTCAAAATATGAAATTTAAGTTAGAAATGGGATCCTGCCCTCAATAAGCCAGTTTTCTACTGCATAGTTCAAAACTGGAGGATTATAAACCAACTTGAAAGTGAGGTAAAGAAAACATGTCTGACGATAAAGCGACTATCAAAACAGAAGACAAACAATCCCCAAAACGTATAATGAATCCCAGAATTGAAAAGAAATGTGCTCGGGCTAGTCTATGAATTTTTGTGTAGTCTGCACACTAATGTCTTTCTTCTTCCATTAAAAAACAACAACTGAGTGCACTATATATACACAAAGAACAAGTGTTCCAGCTGTGTGGTTTTATGATTTAATAGAATGACGATGGGTATAACTTAGGACAATTTTAGTGACGCAAATAATGGCTTAATGTAACAAGTTTGTACACCATTATCCACAATTCTTTCTACTACCTTCAGAAAGACTACCCAACAGTAACTTCCTTTTCTTATGAGACAAATACCTATCCTAACTATAACATTTAGCCAATAAAGTAAATAATTTGGGGGGAAAAAATCTAAGTAGCCACAACGATCTAACAGACAGACAGACAGAACCAAATCTACCAAATAAACAGCTAAAGGGTTTAAGAACGCTGGTGTCAAAGGGGCCAGCTGTCCACCAATTCTTGCCAGTTATGCGACCCCGGGAAGTTTCTCAACTGTTCCAAGCTTCAGTGTCTCTCTGAAAAACTGTAAATATCAGTACCTTCTGGCTAGATTTGTGAAATTAGAGTCTAGGTAAACATGAAACTAATAAAAATATAGAATTTTAGGGCCCTAAAAAAATCCTTAAACTTAGATTAGTTCAAAGTAATCAAAGATGAGTGAGGAACACGAGTAACACAATAACGTGTATTAAGCACTAACACCTGCCCCCCCTCCCCCCAATCCTACCTAACATTCATTCAGACTTCATCTGTAACGTCCCAAAAGTCAGCAGCACTGGCCTAACCAGAAACAACTCTGGGAGTGGGAGGTGTAAAGGCAAAGGAGGGCTGCTCAACCAAAGAAGATAAAGGGGAAAGAGGTGGGGTCACGAACGAGGTAGCCGGCTGCCGAGAAGGACCAACCATCCCGGACACCGGCGCGGGGGCCCAAGGTCACCATGGCTCCTCCCAATGAGGAAGCAGAAGGCATTCAGCTTCCCCGGCGAGCCCACCGGGACGCGCCGAGCCCGGAGCCGGGTGCACGGGGAGTCGCACTCGCGGGGCCTCCAGCGCCGGCCGCAGGGTCCAAACTTCCCGCGGGCGCCTCTAGGCCCGGCCCTCGCTGCCGCGCTTCCTCCAACCCGAAGCCTGAGTCACCGTCCGCGAGGCCCAGAGGCCGAGGCCCCGCCGCTCACCTTCCGCAGGGAACTCCTCGAACTCGTCGTCCTCCTCCAGGAGACCCAAGTCTACTGGCTGCTTCTTCTCGGACATCGCGACCCTCAGCGCCCCAACCCCCTCAGGCCAGCAGGAAAGTTGGATCCACTCGCCTCACCACGGATACCGCCGCCGCCGCCGCCGAGCGCGCTCTACCATAGAGACGCGGGGGAAGAGAGAGAGGGGCGGCGCGAGGAATTCTGGGATACTGGAGGTCGGCCCCGCGCCTCCTGCGGGTTTAGCCACCCTTCAGTTAGAAAAGTTGCTTAGGTTGGACCTGTTGTACCTCTGCGGCCTTATCGCGAGTCTCTGAATTGACAAACTGGATGTCAGGGTAGGTTTCCGCGATTAGAAAAGACTCATATTGTGTAAAAATAAATTCAAACCTGAGGGGTGAGGCGTCCGCCAAGATTCATGAAGGGCCTGCTAAATGCCGGGCCCTTAGGCTAGGTTAGCTCCGTCCTTAAACCAATTCGCTGAGCATGGCATTAAATATATGCACACCCCAGAATATTCAGGTTTGGAAATGGCCAAAGGCATTCAGGTAGTGTTAGTCAACCCAAATGCAGATTTGTTCACCTGACTTCAATCTCCACATTTTCCCATTCGGTGTTCCTCCATCTTGTAGTTACACCGTGGTGAATACCCGATTAATAGGGAGTGTGTGCAATAACTACTTTACAGGTTATTACAAAATAATGCTACGTAAAAGCGAGATACATAATATCCTATGGCGTTTAAAACACGTCATTTTGAATTTTTAAAATATCTAATATTTGGAATGTAGTGATCTACATAAAACTATCTCACCTATATGTGATACTATAGTTGAATATTGCGTAATATAATTAAATGTACATTAATTATTGTACATTTTGTTACATGTGTTTGTTTATGTGTTGAAGTCCCGTTTCTTCAACAGCATCCCATAAACTTTATACCATGAACCAGGGACTGTGCTGGAACATCAAAGGTATAGACAAGGTCCTTGCCCTCAAGTAGCTCATAGTCCACTCAGAGACATGGACACAGATGGGTCACAATGACACAATAATACATTTGAATCTCTATTTGCAATTAAAATTTCCTAAGAAGTGGACAAAGTGCATGAGTGTACGGAGGAGAATGGAGCAACTAAATAGAGCACGTATTTGGATCAGAGTTTGGGAACCTACAATTAGATGTAACTTTCAAAAAAATAAGATTACCCTTCATAATACTATTTTGATTTGATTATTGAAAACATTGGCAGTCTTCAAATTAAGTTCCAAATATATGTAATTTGGTATGCTACGTAAGTAAGTACCAAATTAATGAAAGAAGGGAGACTATGAGGAAAACCTAAAGTTGGTAATGAATGTAGACAGTAGAAATGCAGAAAGTATGTAGTATATTTCTTCATATGCAGAAAATATGTAGTATATTCTTCATATTAAAGTCCATTTAATTGCAGCATTTGCTAACTTTGATGAGCTCTCTTAAGAGATTTATACTCTCTAGCATGCCTTCTGTCACACATATTACATATACCACTAGAACCACACACCAAGTTGAAGCTTGGGGCAGGCAGTTTGATTTTGACATCAAAGAATAAAAAAACAAATCACATATCTGAGCAGTCATCTTATGCAGAGATAAAAGATTTGCCCAAGGACAAGTTTATAGAGACAGAAAGATTAATGGCTGCAAGGAGATGGAACTAACTGCTAATACGATGATGATTGAGGATAGTAATGGCAGATAGTGATGATGGTTGCAAAACAAGGAATAAACTGAACACCCCTGAAATGTACACTTCAAAATGGTGAATTTTATGTTATGTGAAGTATATTTTAATATTTAAAATGCTATTAAAAATTAGTCCCAGGAGTCAAGAATCCCAAATTCTACTTCCTGGGCCTATTATTTGATTTATTAATTCTTAGCAAAAGAAAAAAGCAATAGCAATATAGTGATTTTCTTCCCTAAACTGAATGTATTCCATTTAAAGGAATAATTGAGAAACTACCTTATGTTTAGTCCCCATTTATTTTATTTTATTAATTCATTAAATACAAAATACTGGAACCACTGACTGGATAACCTCTCATTTTAGCCATTGTGGCACATGGTTAAAATGAGCATCTTCTCATTTTCATGGTTATGGCACAGGGAAAAACTTTGAGAAATTATAGCCATTAGTGTATGAGGCACTGGAGGCATTATTGCTTCGTTACATTGAGCATATAAGAATACATATTTGATGGACCAGGCTATAAATCCATGCTGAATTCCTACCAAAGGGGGATTTTAGGCAAATTACTTAATTTCTCTAAAATATATTTTGGTTACTTGCAGAGTTATAGTAAAAATTAAATGAGATTATCTGGTGTACATAGTGTAATGTGGTCAATACATGTTAGTTACTATTAACTATCTCAGATCTTCCATACCAATCCTAAAAATCTCTAAATGTGGATTTTGTTTCTTAGTTGACATCTTGGTGATACTTTGTGAGGAAGTCAGTCCCTCTACAAGTTAATAATAATATAAATAACAGTAGCCAACATGTATTTAGTGCTTACTATGTATCAGGCACTATGCCACACCCTTTCTGTATATTTACTTATTGAATCCTCCTCACAGTGAGTACTTAAAATTTAAATTTGTTTTATATTTGAGAGAAGTAAGTGCTAAGGCATGGTGAAGCTATTATATCCTAAGGGCTTTGTTAAAGATAGGAAACAAACCATCTCATTGTATGGAAAGGCAGACAGTTCATACACAAATCTCTAGAATCATTTCTTTCTAACACTTTTAAAGGTATACACATGTGGGAAAATGGCAAAACATAAATGTAGACAGAAGTGCAAAGGACAAACAGGTAGAATAAAGGAGAAAATAAAACCTTGGGGTTGACGTAGTTCTCCATGGCTAGGAACCATCCACAATTCTAGTGAGAAGCATTGGAGTAAAAACTATGCCTTTACCTTCATATCAGATCATGTCTGTAATTGGTGGATTATATTTAACTTCAAAGGAAATCAAATCAGTAGCAGATTTTATAGTAGATGATTCCATTTGTCTCAGGCAAATCTTTTTCTTTCTAGAAGTTGCATTTGGGATCCACATGGTATTAGTTACATCACAAATACATACCCGAATCTTTGTTTGCTACGGAGTAACTATTCCATAACTAGACAGGATGCGATTGACCTTTCTGTATCCATTTCTATCCAGGAAGAAATGGTGAGGGGCTGTTTAATGGCCGATATCTGGAGAAAGGACCAATTTCAAAGGCATCTTCATTTTGACTTCGGGAGGACACAGGTAATTAGCCAGCCATGAAGAACTGAGAACGCAAACCTATGATGTCCTTTCAGGAAAGATGAAAAGCTTAGGCTCCAAAGTTACTCAGAGTAGAATCATGTACTTGATTGACTTTGGTTGTGCTACTTATGTCCTTCTGTGACCAGGTTATTTCGTTTAGCATAATGTTCTCCAGGTTCATCCATGTTGTTGACTAGCACAGAATTGGCTTCTTTTAAAAGGCTGAGTAATATTCCATTGTATGTATAGACCACATTTTCTTTGTCCTTCACCTGTCAATGGACATTTAGGTTGTTTTCATATCTTGGTTATTGTAAATAATGATGCAATGAACATGGGAGCACAGATATCTTTTCAAGATCCTGATTTCAATGCTTTTGGATAAATGCCCAGAAGGGATTGCTGGATGACATAGTCATTCTGGTTGTAATTTTTGAGACACTTGCATGCTATTTTCCATAGTGGCTACACTATTTTACATTGTCACCAACAGTATATAAGAGTTACAGATTCTCCACATCCTTACCAATACATGTTACCTTTTAGGGTTTTGTTACAGTTGGTTTTGGTTGTTTGTTTTATAATACCCATTCTGATAGATATGAGGTGATATCTCATTGTGGTTTTGATTCACATTTCTCTGGTGATTCATGATATTGAGTATCTTTCACACACTTGTTAGGCATTTGTATGTCTTATTGGGAGAAATGTCTATTCAAGTTCTTTGCCCACTTTCTAATTGGGCTATTTGTTTTTTGCTATTGAGTTATAGGATTGCCTTATATATTTTGGAGATTAGCCCCTTATCAGTTATGTATAGTTTATTTTTCTCCCATTCTATATGTTGCCTTTTCACTCTGTTGATTGTTTATTTTGCTGTGCAGAATTCTTTAGTTTGATGTAGTTCCATTTGTCTTTCTTTTGCTTTTGTTGCTTGTACTTTTGGTGTCATACTCAAGAAATCAATACCTAGACCAATGTTATGAAGCTTTTCCTTATGTTTTCTTCTAGGAGTGACTTTAGGTCCTATACCTAAATTTTTAGCTTCAGCTCCTATACCTAAATTTTTAATCTATTTTGTGTTTATTTTATTTTTAAACATTTTATTGATTTCAGAGAGAGGAAGGGAGAGAGAGTGAGAGAAACATTGATGAGAGAGAAACATCAGTCTGCTGCCTACTGCATGCCCCCTACTAGGGATTGAGCCAAGCCGGCAACCTGGACAGGTACATTGACTGTGAATTGAACCAGTGACCTCTTGGTGCATGGGTTGATGCTCAACCACTGAGCCACATCTGACTGGACTATATTTTTTAAATCCTCACCCAAGAATATATTGAGAGAGAGAGAGAGAGAGAGAGAGAGAGAGAGAGAGAGAGAGAAACATTGATCAGTTGATCAGTTGCCTCCCAATCACATGCCCTGACCAGGGAACGAACTCACAACATAGGTATGTACCTTGACCAAGTATTGAACCCACAACCTTCTGGTGTACAGGATGATGTTCCAACTAACTGTGCCATTGTGTGTGTGTGTGTGTGTGTGTGTGTGGTGTGTGTTTAATATACGTGTGATATATGTTT